CTAAATTTTTAACACACATATATATATGAAGTATTTTCGAAATCGGCAAATATAGAAGCCGCTTATATTGGCATTTTGAAATTTGTGCTACCTCTTCATGAGGGTACTTCATATGTTACAGAGCGATTTTGATACGTTCGCCGTTCAACGTCCAAAGGGTTAATGTGGCATGACATATGTGGACATGTATTTCAACTTTTGAAATTATTAAGTGCTTACAGTGTTGCAGACCTTGCCAACGGCTATGAAATTGTTAGCCGAAAATGCAATCGCGGCGCAATGTTTACAAATTCAAGTGTAAAATTTGTGGAAACAAAATACAAGCGTAACACAGATTCCAGTTATGATTGAATATGTGCTGCTCACCGGGACATGTTTATAGAGGAATAAATCTAAATGATCCGGTGAAAAAAAATCTGAGAATTTGAAGGGAATATAAAAGTATGTGCATACCAATGGTCGTAGGCCGCGGTTTGGGTGATGAAATATAAAAAAGTAAAGGCAGTAAGTGAATTTGTGGCGGTATTTGCTAGTAAAGCGAGATAAGTCTATATATACACCTGAAACTATTGGGATGACATTACTGACCACTTTTCATTTGTGTTGCTTTTATTTCTTTATTAGGGAATCGGAATTAAATTTGCTTATTTTAATTCATTTATCCAATTTTAAGGTGGTGCATATATAACGAGGTAATTCATAATCTATTTTTAGTTCCTAATTGCACAATTTTTTGTCGTTGCGGCGGTCGTATGTATCTCAATTAGCATTGAAGTATGGTATTTATGTGGTTACTTCCAGCGAATTCCCCCGAGGCGGTCAGCTTAGTAGTACCCAACTTCAATCTAGCATGAATCAGAGATAAATTGGGTTTGGGAGTAGCGGTTTAGTCAATGTCCATGCTTTCTTGACAATTGTAGCCGAAATTGATGATACTGGGTCACGAAAACGCGGCGGGAATGGCAATAGTTCATATACTGGAGACGGCAACAGTTTTGAAAAGACGTCATTAAATCAGCGGAATTTTTATTTTAAATCTTGTATATAATCAGAAAAGTATGAGCCGCACTATAGGAGACTTACATACAAAAATGTCACTTGTATATATACATTCAAATCAACAATCGTCGCATAATTTTGAAATAAAGATACAAATAAATTATTTTATATTACGATATCAAGGTTCTATTTTATTGATTATTTGAAATGTATACCAATGTTATCACTGACGAGGGAGCAAATTAAACAAAGCTTCCAATATTTCGTCATCATAATATACTCGGCGAGAATCCCAATCCATATCGCGTGACAAATTTGGCAAGATATATCTCACTTGTTTGTTACGAAAAGTAAAATGAAATGGATGAAATTTCAACTCGGCGAAACTATAGATAACGTCTGGTAACCATAGTCGTGACAAAGATGACCCCCGCTAACCCACAGTCGGGAACTCGCTAAATAACCTTTATGAAGGGGCCGAGAAGGCTTCACACCAAATATGGTATTAGGGCCTCGAAATATTCATTAGTAGGCATACTTTTACAAGTTCAAGAAAGTGTGAAATTCATACTATTTACCGAAAGAATTTTAAACCATGCAAACAGCTGTTTCATTCCGTTGCGTTGGCTGCAAAACAAAATATTTTGCGTGATATTTCACCAAGCGAGATCTGTGGAATAATTTCACCTCAAAATTAATCCAACGATGTATGAACCATGTTTGATAGTGTTTTAGTTTTTTTCTCTAATCAGTTTCTAACTTGCTTATATAATAGACGTGAGGAAATCACGCAAAACTAAAATCGTCTACAGCGGAAATTGACGAAACTACGCACCTTGTTCTGCTACCAATTTCGAATTCGAGATATTTTTGAAATCTTAAATTTATGTTACGCTTTGATTGTAAGTGGACCACGGGAACCCCAATTTTGGAAAGTATTTCGATCGATCGCTACTTGATATGACTGCTGACTGACGCAGTGAAGATGTGAAAAAAATAGCAGATAGGATTATGTCAATCGTTCCTTCACCTTTGCAGCGGGGTACGAACTGTATTGAAAATAAAAACTTCGCATGAATAAATGTGAATATGGCTTGTATATAAAGTATTAAATGATCACGCGTAGCTTTGTCGAACAAACCATTTTATTAGTGCCAACATTCTTCCTGAAAAATTCTTATTGAGACTGCATGCATTTCATTTATTTTAATAGATGATATACCCACATTCCTGTCTCTGAACGGGTGTCAGCGATTTCATGAAGTTATAAATAAATAGTTATTCTCAAATACAACTTCGGCGGTTTTTTAATAGTAGAATTCACTTGTATGAAAAATTGTAAAACCATGAATTTTTGAATATGGTTAACTACAAACTCTCGTTCGTTATCGCTGCCAAATGCATGCACCTTAATCGTTCAAACTTATAAGCCAGAAATGCGGTATCTTTTGTGTAAAAAGCCGTCGCCCAATCGGATAATTACTAATTTTTTATTATAAAACGAGCGGGGTTGTTTTCTCAAATCTTACATTTTTCCATTAGCGGTGGAGGTCTTCTACAAAAGATCCAAAATGCGTTATTGATACTAAAAGGAGGGAGATTATTCGTGCGCGTGAATTTATACGATCAGGCCATGATACTCCATCAAGCACATGGCGGATACACATCAAAGACCTGATATAATGCCAAAAAGACGTCAAAATTTGCGAGCGGCTGGCACGCCATGGTACTCAATTCGTTTGCGACTTGGATTTACCAACTTCGCTTGGGTTTAGCACTTTAACCAATCTATCTCATGAAATAGTCAATCAATTGTCATCGATACCCGAATATTATGTATATACAGTAACATCAGGACGCGAGAAGTCGAAAGCAAACAAGTGAGCGAAGAAATGTATTTGCATAACCTGCATTTATGGCGATAGCAAACATACTTAGCGTACCAAGGGATTAAAAAGCAGGGCATTTCGATTCCTAAATAGGACTAAAAAAGTCTTCTATAATATTTATCTCCTCCGTATATTTTCGACTTCCCTTTTTCTATCTTATTAAAATAGGACGCCAATAAAACTCAGGTAGAACTAACGAAGCTCATACAAGGGACCAAATTCACCAAATCAATGAAACTAGTCCTGTGAAATAACAACTTCACGCAAACTTATTATCAAAGAATTCATGAAACAAGAGAGTTTTTATTTATGTTTAAGGCAAAGAAAATAGCAACAATCTGAAACTGTTATACGGAGTAAAATAAAACATAGGCAACTTCGGCTTAGTTAGATAGTAGATACATATGCTGAAAATGTAAGTACCGCAACATATTCATCAAATAACATTCAATCAATCATGAGTCAATGATGAATCGCGTTTTGTCGATGCACCACTAAAGGGGCCAAAAAGCAAAAATATAATAATTAAATGCATCCATGATCAAAATAATAAAAAAAACTATCTAACCATAACAAATAGAGTAGGCTAATGTTGAACGGAGAATATTCCAGCTCATACAAAAAACTATCAGCTGTGCTTGTTTGGAAAAAATATGTGAAATAACTCACATGTGGTGGATATTTCACACACAATATTATAAATAGAGTCAAGTCATTCAATTATTAACAGAAAAAAGAGCAGCTAAGTTTATGCGAGGTTAATCATGATGAAGCATTGTTTCCATAAAGTAAAGGGTATGATGATTTATTTCAAAATTAGCGCTACAAATATGCTAAGTAATACTTTTACACTGGTATGTGGGGTCATCTGCAAAAAAATTTGTTTTGAGGGAAAATAATGTCGGTATTTCAACAACCTTTACAGACGAATTAGTGTTGCGAATATAGAAACAAACATCCTAAAAAAACTCACAGACTGGTGAAATGGTTATCACTGTCTGATCTAGCGTTAACCTACTTGACCTACAAGTGCATCATGAAGATTAAACCAGAATAGGAAACCGATGTGCAACAAATGTGAAAAAATTAACTCAGATACCTCAGGTATCAATCGTATAAGTTGGATGAATTAACTGACAATATTTAAATTACAATATAATGCAAGAAAAATGAAAAAAATTAACACTGTAGAGTGCAGACTGAGAAAAATAACTATAATAGAAAATGCAACTTGATTCAAATAGTATTTTATAATAATTTACCCAAAGAAATAACCAATCAAAAAATCCTTCTCTGTAATATTTTTTATTACACACCCATGAGTCACTCAATTCAATAGTTAATCCTAATATGAATCACAGATAAGCCATCTTTTGACTATGGAGGTTTCAAAATACCATCTATAATCCAAAAAAGGGCCTTGACAAACCCAATGAAGGAGCAGACAGCTTTTGTAAAAACTGAGATGAAATGATTCAATCAGGACTCGATATTTTTGACTTCTGACAAAAAATCTTAACATCCTTTAGCAATAAATATTTTTCTGACAAAACATCAAACCAACACAGTTTTCATATTCCTCAGACATATACCGTAATATTATGAATAGTAATGAGCGATTGAAAAACTCGTGCACTTTTACAAAAATGATAAGAGCTATGATAATGAATACTTTTTATGAAACCCCAATATAATTCGAACTAAGCTACTGCAGTGGAGTGATTTAAGAGTTTACTGAAAGTAATGTCCATTCAAATCATTATCAGACGAAGCAAAATTACGAAGTTCAATTCTGTGCCTTCAAATCAAAACTAGATATCAGGCTAGAAAAACATGCAAGATTGATACTGTTGAAATTTTTACATGGCTATGGAGAAATTTCGACATTCGATACTATAAGCGCTTGGTGAATAATAAAATAAATTATTTCTAGTTACTTAGCACTTCGTAATTCTTTTTATGGACCCACTTAACACTATCTGTATCATACTGCAATGTCACAGTTACGAGTGCAAAATATCAACTAGTGGTCTGTTTAGATGCAATATAGATTAACAAAAGCAAACTAAGTTCCCCAATTAGGCATGACAGAACAGGAATACATTATCTTTGTTGCTACATTCCACTTCAATGACTATCAGAGGATAGGTGTGGGGTCTGATTAACAATATAATGCCCCACCCTGGTGATAATTTACAGCCGTTCTTCAAGGAATTCTGATAATAGACACTTATGATAGAATATTTTAAACGATTCATTTCAATATTCTTGTCATTATTAAGCTACGGATAATATTGCATATTTCTAATAGCTTTAAAATGCTACATAAGTTTATTAAGCGATAACTAAAAAAGAAATGGGGCTGCAATGTAAGCAAATAAATTACTGAAAAAGTGGATTCATGTTTGTAGATCGCATAGTTTTTTTGTTACGCACCAAAGTATTTGAGAAAATAAGTTAGAAAAGAGTATCAAAACGAACAAAATATTTATAATGAAGAGCACGAAATATTTTTATAAATAGTAGTTTGAAACCGCAAATATTTTAGCGAATGCAAAGTTGTAAGGTATGACAACCCAAATATACCATGCTTAATAATAATTATCGTAAATCAGCAAAAACACAATTATTACAAAATTCTTTATTTTTAAAACTAGTCAATCATCCGTATTCATGTTCTATTCATTATTGAGTCAATTTGGCTAATATCGGACAGATGACACATAGAATACATGCTTGACTTATTTAAGTAACAATCACCAAGAGTAGTTGAAGATATAATAAATTTAGAAGCAGCACCATAATGAGGTATTTAAGATTTTCTGAAGGTTACAAAGATTTTTACAAAATTGGATATCAAAATGACGTGAAGCAGGGTCTCTCAGTAATATATACCCTGCCATATAACTTATGTTGGATTATAAATATACCCCATCAAACTAGGTATGTTAGGTAAAATGAATTATGAAGAGAGAAAACAATACTGTATATAAATAGGATGCCCTATTTAGAATGATTGTCATGCAATGGTGCATCAAAATATATTAACAATAAATAGTAAAACTCTGTAACACATTTAGCATGCGCATTAAGTCAGATAAGAAGATGAAGAAACAGTAAGAGATTGACAAAATTCTTAGCTATTCTTTTAGCTTCGAATATATATATTTATAATGTAACAGTTTTTACTTGCTTAGTTGAGGATGACACCGGAGCGCTCTGTTGCCTTGAAAAATTAAATCTTGGATATGAAGGACCTCTTTGCAATCTTAATGTACCTGGTGTTGCATACATATCTTCTTCTCCATTAGGATGAGACATGAAATCCTTTGCTATATTTTTTCGGACAGGTAAAGTATAGCTTCTATGATCAAGGTTCTGTAACATAGGAGGAGGAAGTATGTTGTTTTCTGATTCACTGGATAAATCTTGCAATGAAGTTTTTATTGAATGCTTGCTACAGGATGATGCTTCAATAGTTTTGCCACAACAAGACCAATGAGATGATCCAGGGTGTCCTTCATGACCATGTCCACAACCTTTGAACCCACCAGGCATTTGAGCTCCGCATGCACATACACTATTTTTATCTCCACCACTTGAACAAAAGCAGCAGCAATGAAATATACCAGAATGAACATGGGTTTTCGAGTCAATCGCAGAAACATGAAACGGACTACCATGAATATGTTCTCCAAAAATTTGTACATCTAAATTGTAATTTCCAGTTGCATAAACAACGTAAAGAATACGGTATGTACCATCATGTCTGTCAGTAATTTGCACTTTGGGTTTTTTAAATAATTTTTGGTCTATGCCCTCCATTGTTACTAATACAGATACATCATGGCCTCCGTTCTCTAGTTTTTCACGTTCATAGTTATTGGCAATGACAATGAATTCAGAAGGTAGTTTAACACGAGAACAATGAATTCCTTCACCATAAGCAGTACAATACTTAGGTTCCAAGGCACGTGAAACAACATCACCACAAATATCGACTTCTAATCCGGGTCGAAGTAACTTCGATGATCTTTTATTTTCAGCAAGGCAACTTACATTGTCTCCTTCTATCCAGGTTTTCACTTTCTTGTTTGCTCGGAACTCCATGAAGTTTTCCACTGGGCAAGGATTTTCACTGAATTTTATAGATGACAATGACTGTAAGCGCTCAATAACAAATGGCCTCAAAGATACTATTTCATGGTCTGTTCCTATGCCGAGCAATTGAGATGTAAAGTCACAAGAATGCGTTACATCTTTTAAAAGACTAGAAAGATGTTGTTTTTGTACCTGCACCGATTCACGTTTAGCCTTGGCCATTTGTTTTATTGATTTCAGAAGTGAATTTTTATGTTTTTCTAATGACTTGATATAACTCGTAATATGGCGTTCCACTTTACCAGAAACTTCATCCGCTGTATCATTAATAACTTTTTCAGAATGTTCGAGCTGTGAAATAGCTTTATGTAAACTTTTAATTTTAGGTTCGCATGATTTAAAGTGATTAGATATCTCAGATACTTTCTGGTCAATCACATAGTTCACATATTCACATTTATGATCCCTGTGTTTAACTCCTAGACAGCAGTCTCTACATACAAGTTGTGAGCAATCAAGACAATATAATTTCAATTCTTCTTCAGTGTGCCTATTGCACATGATTGGGACACCTTGTTTCTTTGACCGGTATCTTGTGTCTTTGCCATCAATTTCCTTGGAAGAAATTACACTATGAGCAGCCGTGAGGCTTTGTCGCTTATGGGCTTGGAAGCAAAATTGGCACAAATTAGCTTGACACTGGACACATCTTCCCTCTATTGCTGTTTTGTCTGGACAAAGATCACAAGTTAATTGTTGTGCTTTTCTGTTTTTTAAATCATTTATCACTAGCAGTCGCTGAATTAAATGATTCATTGGGAGACCGTAAACTCCTTCTAAAGACAAGTTTACATTGGTGAAGCAAGTTGGGCATTTTAAAGCTTCCGACGAACATGATGCATCAACTACTTTTTCCAGTAGCAAGCCATCTTTATTAACGCTCGGAGTTGTTTTATCTTGCAAGCAGTTTGTGCAAAATGTATGCAGGCATGGTAATAGTCTTGGATTGGTTAGAATATCACCACAAGCAGAACAATAAAGTCTGGCGTCATAATTTTCAATGTCATCATCAAATGAATGATCTAGTCCAAAATCCTGTATAACAGAACCGATAGTTTGTTCACAAGAATTTTGATTGCCATTGTCAGACATGGGCAAGTCAGAATCCATTGCTGTCATAAATATAGAAGAAGTCGCCATATCATTGTCTTCAAATAAAGGAAAAACAATATTGCTTCTCGCAGATGTTGAGGGTTGTAAGCCCATCTGCTTTGATTGATTAAGATAGTTATCACTACAAGTTAAATCTTCACGAATAGCAATTTGTGCTAATTTTCTGTCAGCTATTTTCATTAGATCCGAAACAAAATCATGATCATCAGGTGATGGTGATCTTTTATCACAACCAGCAAGAGAATCTGAACTGGAAATGCCAGAGTCTGTGTGGAGGTTTTGTCCAGGCATACTTATGTCACTGCTATTTGAGCTTCTGTTCACTATGCTCATGTTTACAGACTTTTCAGTAGCAAGAGATTTACTAGGCATTTCTACAGTTCCCAAAATTGGGGAAGAATGTCTTGCTATTTCTTTTGCATGTCCTTCTTTTCTCCTACTCATTGAATGATCTCGAGTTGTTCTTGATTTCATCATGGATTCTACACATTGGACCAAATATTATAGATTTCGGTGTAACAATTGACAACAAAACTGTTATTGAAAACGAAACTGTTAAAGACTACTGAAACACATATATACAGCACATTACTGAATTACAAAAAGAAATCACACCATGACGGGGTGGAAAATCTCTTAGACGAAGAATCTCTCCTCAATGGTTTAAATAGAAGATGCATTAGTGAAACAAACCAACTGCCAAAACAAAGTTATGTCTTTGGTGATGAAAAATGGTTAATTACAGAATTATCTGTTTGTGGCCTTGTCTGTTGAACAGAATTTAAAATTTCAATAAACAATTTTTTTACTATAATTTATTACTCTTTTTACCATTACCACTACAAAATAACGATATCTATATTTATATAACATCCAGATATAGCCCAAGTCTCTGATTTTTTTGTTATTTCACCATTAAATTGTATACTTACTATATACTGTAATATAACGAGCATGTGACAGAAAAAATTAACCCTCAATAGAGTGTAAAGCAAATTACAGTACGTATGATGTCAAAATTTAATTTACTCGGTAATTCTGTTTAGATTTCTTGACACACTTACTAGTTTATAATAACATTGTGTATTATTAGTACCCTAATCATACGTCGACCTCAAAACTTCCCTCGCATAGCTTCACAAAGTTCGTACATAACTTACCATAGTTACATTAGTATGATTTCCCTGTCACTGACTTTTCCAATATTACCTATATCAAAGCAAGCCCGCCTTTATAACCAATTAATAAATTAGCAGATTGCGATAATTAAACCATACGTCTGCTCCAGACAACATCTCAGACATGTCAACCAGAGCCATATCATAATTAAGTTACAAAATTTATGAAAAGTTTATCAGCGGCGGTGACGATGCTATCTCACATACCCAAATCGTAACCAAAACAGTGACAAACCGCGAGACAAGCCGACAACGCGCACGACGGAGCTCGTCGCGAACTACTTTGACGGAAACCTATGCGCAGACTTTTCTTTATCACGGCGGTTAATTTTTTCATGGTCCGACTATTCTTAATCGACAGCCACATAGCACTTCATAGCTATTAACTTTTGTTTTAAATAAGCATATAAGAAAAGGGAAATATTGAAATATAACAAAAAATAGATGCTCCGTATTCTGGTTTCTAACCATTTTTCGAAGCAATTTTCATATCTCATTAAAAAGTTGGAAGTTTGAAAGTATATTTTCACATTTTTTTTTCAGGTTTCGACTTTTTAAAAGTCCTCGATTTCGCAGCTCCCACGGCTACACATAACACCTCTGCGCTAGCGCAAAATATAATTTTATTGCCAAGGTATTAATTAAAATACCATCATCTCACCTGATACGATATGGCAGGGATAATAAATAGCCGTGGGCACTGAATTGAGGCGGGATCGAGAATCTCGTCCATATAGATTGACTGAGGGAGTCGTTCAGTGGCAACTGAAAGGCTTTCAAATCAACAAATACCCACATTACCCAACAACAAACATAGAAGGCATACAAGGCTCTCATTTATTATTGCACAAAATGACTCTAGAAGCAACCGATGACAATTTAAACCAAATGAACGAAGACAGCCAACCAATACAAGCATTCTGTCACACTAAAAGAACAACCAGATCAAAATGATGTGACATGGCAGTTTATGGACATTTCAAAAGTTTAGTGCAATTATAAATGCAGAATGCATTTCTACTTTTACAACATATACCCAAAGCATGTTGTACATGAAAAATAGCTCCAAAAAGTCCATTACAGTATTAGAATCTTCCAGAAGTGATAGTAATAAAGAAGTCCTTTCACTTAAAGTTCAATAACTATTCAGTTAGAAGGCATAAGCACATATGCAAACATACAAGAAAATATTATACAAGATAAATCATGGCTATAATAATAAATATTAATATAGGATTTTAATAAAGAAAACTGTACATGGTTTGTGTACCAAGTGCTTTATATGATGGAATAAATTTTTTGGCATTTCTGTAAGTACGAGCATTCAAAACTAATGTTTTGCTGTCTTGCCTAGATTATGCCATATTACTTCCAGCAATGGTCGCATGTTCACTGTGCGCTGCTGCTGACTGTTAATTTCAGGTCCACAAGACGATGTACATTCAAGAAAAACCAAATAATACAAAATTGCTGTTTTGAAATCATAGCTCCATGTGGTCCTGACTAAGGCAAGTAAGAGGTATAAGTTTTTGTCCCAATAAAGGTTCTTACTGCATCCCACCATTATAAGATTATTTTGATAATAGTTTTTTTTTTCTGAGAGAACAACTTGGTGATCTATCTATATTCTAAAATTTTTAAGAATAAACAGGGAAGTCCAAGAAACCCATTTGAGAAAAACATATGCGTGGTGTATTGTGAAAACAACAAGTATGTGACATAATATTCAGCTTTAGGAATCACGTTGTCTGGCAGTAGTGTATTTCTGCAGCAACATTTGTCCGCATAAGATAAAACATGGTTATGGCAGGTACCAGTGGAGCGCGCACACAGTCAGTTCACAGAATTCACCCCTAATCCATCTTTCTTGCACCAAGTTTTCCGCCAGTAGCCCTCGCAGCTCGTTTCTTTTCCATTTCTTCCTGTCTTTGTCTTCTTTTTTCTTCCCTTTGCTTCTTCATTAGCTCAGCTTTCGACAACCCTAGTAAATTAAATAAAAGCTTTGGTGATTTGTTCAAGAAGTCACTGGTCAGTCCCTGCGGCATGAATATATTTGCAAATCATTCCGGCCTTCGTACTGATGACAACACAGCTTTATTTCAGCGGAAGATTATTATTGTTAAGCAGTCATCCTATCTACTTTCTCTATCCATCACAAATATGAAAAATCTTATTCTATGGTGCACAGAAACGACGACAAAATATCAGCAAACAATTTGTTGGCTAATAGTCTTAAAAGTGAAGAACAATTATTGTTAGAACCACAAATTCCCCATAACCTTGTCTTACAATCTTTTTTAACCGAATTGAAATCCACACCTTGATTTTCATTATTCCACTCATTTCCCCATCCCCAATCATTACTACTATTATCAACTGATGGAATCGAATTTTCTTCTTTCCTCTTTTCTTGTTTCTTTTGAACTTTAGTGGATGAAGAAGAAGATTGTATGGTTTGTTTTGCTTGCTGACCAAGTCTACTGGATGCCTGCAATACCAGAAAAAAGGAAAGCATTGTCAGTAGACGAAGCAATGGTTTCAACAATAGAAGAAAACCCCTATAAAACCCTAATCCAATGAATTACAATACAAATACCAGAAGGTTCTTTAATCAATTAGTAAATTACAATTAATTACATTTTATTGTAATTAATTTAAATTATGAGCGAAGTACAGTATGGTGGAATACTTCAATATAATTAGAAAAAAAACAATCACCTTGGCGGGTTTGGCAACAATATCTGAGAAAAAGTCATCAGAATTAGGGTCAACATTTTGATCATTAGACCAGTTATATAAACTTGCTGGTTTAATATCTGTCTTTTCTTGTGTTGCTGAAATCAAGATAATAAAGCCAATAAAAGTATTGGATAATGACACCAACAAACAATATATAAAATACATTTATATTAACTACATTCCAAAGTATGTGTATTATTGGTAATTATGATCAATGAGATACTTACATGTAGAATCGTCATTCCATTCTGGAGAATCCATATTGTCATCATTACTGCCCCAATCATCCCACCCAGATGATGATGAAATTGATTTCTTACCCGTCACCATTGACGATTTTGATTTGTTTGAAGTTTTGGATGAGCTGGTAAATGCAACATAGACATTTGTATATACATGATTATGCATTTATTCACATTGGAATTTAGCATGTTAGGGTATTTGGAGGCATTATAGAAAAGTAAGGATGTATAGCAAAAAGTGAATATGCAGTACCGCACAGGTAATAAGTCACTAGATGGCTTTTCCCTTTTTTAAATCGTCTCGGAATCTTACAGACCCCATTATTGACCGAACATTTTTTAATTTCATTTCTATAAAGAGGCACACTTTTTTTTCTACAGTGCTTGTATGTCAATCTTTTAGGCCAGAGCTTTTCAACCTATGGGTCGCGACCCAAAACTGGGTTGGCCAGAAAATTTTCTTGGGTCGCTTGTTTTTTTAACAAAAACCTAGAAGTTACTGATTTTATCTCTAGTCATTTTTTGTTTATTATATATTTAGTATTGCAGTGTTGCTCAATATAATTTGTACATGTGGGAAGTATCAAAGCGTAAAAACTTGGCAGCATTTATTTTGATACGTACAGCCACGCCCCACCATTTCAAAAACTCGCTGATCGCAAACAAGCACTGCCTTCTCACTTTGGAATAATTTCTGGAGGAATAAATGTTATGTAAAAATGATTGTTTCCCTTGTTGAATGGTATAACCTTGATGCTATTGTACAGCTATCTACTAGTATTTCTAGCTGTATATGTGCAAACAATTCTGACCTTTTTGACACTGAAGTTATCTTTTTTGCTGGTTTATCATCAAAATCATCGACATCCCATCCCGAGTCATTCCAATCTGCATCATCATCAGCAGCTATTTGTTGTTCACCATCAGATTTTTCTTCATCAACTTTCACCTGATCAGTACAATAAGAATTAATGTGATTTATACCCTTTCGACTCCCGCGGATTGTTGAATAGAACAAAAATGAAATAATTTGATCTTATCAATATGTAAATAACTTAAAATAGCTAATATTCATCTATCTTTACTGCATGCTGTTAACAATGCACAATTGTTACAGTAAAGCCATATTCGACAACTGTGGCTTCAACTATGAACGTATTTTAGTAACAAAAGATTCCAATGTCCAGGAAAAGTGTGTTGATTACTGTAATGTTTCAGACCCTTTTCCAGGCGTGTATTGTTAGCACAGCCAAGAGAAATCTTCTTTCATTTCAGGATGTCAAAATATTCCATTTTCCAGTCATAGAAAACAGAATGAGAAGGATACTGCATACCTTCATAACTCAGCTGGAAGGAAGATGAGAAAACTGCACAAATAGTCATAAATTGTTTGCTAGCTTGCATTGATATGTACTAGTTGGACGTTTAGTGTGCAAGAGTTGGCCAGAGAAATAGTAGCAAGTGGCCATAGCAATACCACTGTCATAGATCAGGCAATCCTGCAACTTTTTTTCCAATTATCATTCCAGAGATATATACATATATATATATATAGCATAGAGAAATTAGCAATGTCTTTTTCCTAATCACTAGCATAGCTATCTTTTTGCAAAAATGATTGTGATTTCGTCATCAAATTGATCATTTTCTATGCTACATATTGGCTTAAATTAGGTAATGTATGTCTCAATCTCAACATGCGATGAGTGGATGAGCATCATGCAGTATGCCTATATATCTATTTACTATCCACAAACAAGAGCACACAAGACATGCAGTTATATGAAACAGAAAATTAGTGAAAATAAAAACAAACTTTGGGAAACATAGTGGACAGAAAACATTGATTGGTGACAAAACTACTGAGATGGGACATGATATTTATTACCTGCATAAACAAATCTGACCATAAATTTTCCTCCAAAGCTTTAAGCTTGGAGACGACGACCAGTTTTCTGTCCTTTTTAGAACCTTTCCTCGGCATCGGAGTGATGGGTGATTTAAATTCCTGAACATGCAATGGTAAACACCACACAAAAGGTCACACAAGATGAAGCAAGTCAAGATGAGTTAAGCATGCAGATAAAAAAAAACGATGATGATTTGGAACAATAATTTAACATGGTATGTGAAGTATGATAATAATAATTTGTTTTATTGTAGTTTGTAGTAGAATCATGTAGTTAAAATCAAAAATTACAAACTTTCCTGAGATTTGATTCTTCGATTTATCCCAGGGCAAGAGGGATGATAAAATGGCCTAATCATATGCCGAACCACGACCTATTCTGGTTACTAAGTCATGTCGTGTACGGGGAATAGTTGTCGGTTTCAGACACATGGTCTCGATGCCATTCATTTCAATATTTATTCCTATTGCACAGACAGGAACTGACAGTGAGTAAATTATACTTGATATTCAATACAAGCAATTTAAAGTCTACATAATTAGAGTTGAATTATTGAGCCAGGTTTTCAACCTGATAGCACAATATTGAAGATTAAAATTGAATTTCTACACATACCTGCTACTTCTATTTATAATGTGAGCTTGACTAAATTACTTCACATAGTGTTATTAAGTGTGAGTGTAGCTATATTACATATGATTACGGTACACTTGTATATTATAGAGTTAATCTTTTCAATATGCATAAACTTTAAATAAAAATTCGTTATCATGAAAATTTTATGAAAATATGCAAGGCTGTTGATGAATTAGGATGTACCGTAATTATTTTTTTGTAAAAACAATCTCAATTAATAATTTTTTTGACAATAATAAATTTTGCAATGAAATGAATATCATTTCAATCGCTAGAGCAGAAGACCAACATCAAACGAGTATGCTGCGCTTTAGGCAATACAACAAAAACAATATCAAATAGCATATACAGTAAAGAGCGAAATCTTGTTGATACACTTCAGACAAGCAATGAAGCAAGAATATATATAAAACACCAGAAACGCACCTTTGAAACTCAAAAATAGCAGAAAACCACAAATTCACAGGGAAGCCAAGATAAAATGCTAATGATTTACATTGCAATATTATTTTACCTCCAAGTCATCCCATCCATCATTATCATCTTTCCATCCATTGTCTTCATCATTATTATCCTCCTCCCCATAATCCGATGCATCATCATCTTCTTGTTTGCTTTCATTTTTGTTGTTTACAATTTCTTCTCTACCTGGTGGCTTCTGTTGACTACTCGTATTTTCAGCGGACTGGTCTAGATAAAAATGTTAAGTCAACACATTATTTGTGAATAGTAACTACTCATAAATGTTATTATTTTTCTTGAAATGCTGCCAAAATCCATCATAAAACACGGTGAATGACAGGTGCACAATTTTCAATTTTCTGCTTTCGTTTTTACAACTTTTTTAATAGATCTTGTCCAATGCAAAGTCACATGAACGCACTAAATATATATCAAGTTACGGAAGTCCAGAATTCAAAAAGTTCTTAAGCTACTGAAATTATGTAGAGTTATGGGGTAGATAAGTTTGAGACTTGCATCACTTGGTCATTGCAGTTATAGAAACAGTTATTAGAAGATAGCAATTTTCATTTTGCTGCAAAAAGTCATTTTTTTTAGTTTGTCTTAAAGCAAGTCTGGCTTATCTCTCAAAGCATCCTATTCCAATAAAGCAGTATCAGTGTTTTCGAAAACCCATTTGCATTCCAATATTGTTATGGTTAGAAAAATGTGAAATGATTTGTACACATATTCCTTTTCAGTCATCAGTCATAACATTTGAAATATGTCACTTGATACCAGGGATGGCCAAAACCGAATATTTTCACTATTCCGAATACTTTTGAGGAAATATTTTCGAATATGGAATACATTCAAAATTGGGGGCAAGTTTATGTAGAAAATTACATAAATCACATTATCTTCGTGTTGATCATATATAAAAAGACTTAAATATAAAGTCCATTGTTTTCTCCCTGTTGTTTGTTACCAGTTGAGATTTGTACTTTTTAAAAACGGCTTGTCTGACAGCTCAAAATACCACAAATGAATTCAACTTTAGAGTATTCAATTTACTTTTGACAACCCTGCTTGATACACCCTACTTTACTGTTTTATGTATGACAAACCAAAATCATATTACCAAAGATAAATGAGCAAATATTGTTAAGCAAGCAAAATGAAATGATTGAAATGATTACGAAATTAGCCATCCAGATACTACTTTAGTTAGAACAATAGATCTAATAGCATAATGCCAGTCAAACTTAATGTTCTCATGAATCTCACCAGTACCTCTAACACGCATAGGCATTTATTAAAAGAGTGTAAATTTTGTACATACCAGTTTCTGGTGCAGCATCCTGTGGTTCACCTCCTTTCTTGTACAACCTAGATGTTAGTGACGTAACACCTGTACTCATCCATCCTGTCCAACCAGATACTCCTGCCACAACACTTGCAGCTGTGCCGGTTGAGGCAGCACTGGCATCAGCATCTGGAAGTGAATGCACACAATAAGCTTCAAATAAAAAGAGTATACAATAAATCGACATCTGTTGCCAAATCCTTACCTATTTTTGCAGCAAATTCTGGATCTTCTGATGCTTTTTCTAATCGTTGAAGAAATACAGAAATTGTTTTGAATGAATTGACGCGTACATTTTTGTCTGGATCAACTGTTAGAGAACATAGCGCTGGAAGTGCCTGTCAATAGAGCAAACAGTTTTTATCGTGAAGTGTTGCAATATATAAACATACCATAGAACAATCCAATATTGGGCTAACAGGATCAAACATATATACAAAATCTGTAAAAATAAATCACTCTGGCCTCGACACACAACTCCTGATTGACTTGAATTTTGACTCTGACTTTGACTCCAATATCAATCAGAACATGCCAAGCTTCTACCTATATCGCAGCTGTGCATATAACACTTACTATTACAAATATAGACAAATCATTTGGAATTACCAGTACTATATTAAGAACGAAGTGTAGCCTAGCCTACATATGGATCGTTTTGATATTATGTTGTTGTTGTCCTTCATCTTGGTGCGATTCCTCTTTACTTACTGGGCCAATTGCTTTGATTTTTAGTGATTAGAGATTGTTGTTGCCGTATTATTTATTATTCATGGGACCACAGTTTCCAATCCCCCTAAGCAAGACAGCTGTCTTCTCGAGCTACGCATAAGTGGGAGGTTATTTAATACCGGTAACGTACTGTAGACTCGGTATGGTAAATTGAGTTCACATATTTGAGCGTCGCCCTCTCCTTATGATATATAAATATATTGTTCAGATTAATTTCAATATTTTCAAGACATATATACGAGTGAATTATTACTACCTTGTAAGCACAATCCTTTGTATTAAAATATTCAACATTTCCCGCCATTGCTAAAACACCTGCAATTCTTGCTGCAGGGAATGGATCTCTCATTGCTCTTCCAAACGCAGATGACACAACTTTTTGTCTTGTCTAAAAATAAAAGTATGTTATATCAAAATAAACTTGAAGAAGATGATAAATAAGGCACTGGTTTTCAATCGTGATTATAACGATATGCAGTAATATGGAAAGAATAGAAAGAATAAATCGAAAAATCACATTTAATACCACACTGTAGTATGCAAAAGCTCCAGAACGTCAGTATATGAGTGACCCAAGGGTAAAATAAACACTTGAAATATTTCACGTTCAAAGACCCGCCCACTACCTGATGGCATCGCAGGTTAAAATCTCAAGATTCAAATCCTATGCAAACCACCCAGTGTGTTCAGAGCAAGGCTTATGATACATCGCATTAGAAAAAAGTAAACAGTTCAGGCTGCTTCTGGGTATTTAAAAACATGGTAGCCGTGTATATATATCTTTGTATGACAGGATTGATGGTGTGGGAAAGCTCATAAAAATTTTAAACTACGTACTGATGCATTAAGATGGCAAGCGATCTTTCCAAGACAAACAGTTGTATTTGTTCTTATTGGTCCTTGATCATCTCTTGATTGTAGTCTTGCAAAATGCTTCATTAATTCATTATTTAAATTGTTGTCATTGAGTTTCGGAGCAAGAAGCAACATTGCCTGGAAATGAACGATGAAATAATAAAATACCAACAAATTATGCCATTTTTATATAATAGTTCCTACATATCATTAGATATCAGCGGATGATTGGGCTGGAACTTGTTCAGAGCGAAAGATTTGAATAGGTGTTGTAGAAAATAATTTGCTCTGAATAACAACAGTGCATGGGAATCAACCGAAGACATTTTAACAAAGGTTAGCGGCTTGGTTGGTGAAGATACTGCAGAATATAGATACTTTGGAGAAGCGAACAGCTCGAGTACTGTTATTGGTAATGAATCAGAAGAAATACCTCACACAGAGGTTAAATGAAACACAGAGTGCTATTGTGTTGTACTATGGCAGGGTAAAAGTTTATAAAAAGTCATTTTTTCGAATAGAATTTTCATGTTATAATTCATTAATACATATCTCATCATAATAATATAATACCGGTAATATAGTCTCACCTTAATTGACTGCTCACGTATTGCTGGATTTGTATCCATGAAACCAGTTATTATGTTTGGAAATATTTGCGAGTTCACTACCTGAAAGAATGATTCAGAACTGATTCAGCAATTGTTCAAACTTAAAAGATTGGGGAGTGATAAAATCATGTGTCATGTCTATAGATCTGTTTGTTTGTTTATAGTTTCAGCACCATATAATATGGGAACTGTATAAGGTGTGAAAAATATTAAAATAACAAACCAAGTTTCATAATCTTTTTCTGGAGTATTAGGCAAAATTGTGAGTTTTTATAAAAATAATTGTCAAAGTGCATTTAAAAATGGTAAACAGTAATGGTAGGATTTACAAATTTATCCGAGAAAGCTGATAATACCGCTTAATCATATACGGAACCACGACCTCCTGTTGTCTATTGGTGTGCAATTAGATATGTCATTTATTTTATGTTTTTCAGATGTATGGACTTGATGGTGGAAGCAGCAGTAAACGACCACCAATTACATGAACCACCCTACGGTACCGGTACAATCAAAATATTACATAATATCTTGCACTTGACACTTACCAAACACAATATTTGGTGGCTTTGATATTAGAATCTAATATTTGAATCCAAATAAGAATTGTTGCGCTATCTTATATCATAAGCATTTGATATTATTTTAAATAGAGCAAATTCGCATGATAATATATAATTAATTACCATTATTTCAAAAGATTCAAACTAAACTCAATTCAAACTTATACCTGTGGTTTTAAATGTTCGATAAATAGAGGTAATTGACGTAAAAGATGAATTCTTGTGGCTCGGTCAGTTGAACTAAATAATTTAACAACACATGGTACAATTCGTTGTTGATATTCGTCTGCTTCTAATAATGCTCCAAGCTTTGAAGAGATAATAGTGTTATTTATTCATTTATTTAAACAGGAACTCGAGTATCCCGAAATCGAGTATCGTATATCAGATATAATCCGTTGAAACAGTTCTAATAATAAAAGAAATGGTATTTTCGAAAAGTACGATTAGCAAACTAGATAAACTATTTCTGTTCAAATAACTATTAATAACAACAGAAGTTATTCAAATCATAATAGCAAAATTATTCGAATATTAACATACCATGCCTGCAATCTAACTTACCAATAAGCGAGGAAATGTATAATTGTACTATTGCTTATTTTGAATTGAACATCATTTATAAAGCAGGGGTAAGTACTAAGTTATAAAAGCATATCAGGAAAGTTCAAAACAAAAATTGAATATTTCAATGTAATCGAGATTAGTGTAATTCGATGCAGTATCTTTTTACAAAAATATCACTATTTATCATTCACAAAACATTAAAAACTATTAAAACAATATACATCTTATATTTTCTAGAATAGCGTTCCTCAAACAGGGATTGGAATTACGACTGAAACTAAATTGGTCTCCCAACTGACAACAAACAGGCGGACAGGATTTGCTATCTAAACAGGCAGACAGGCCTTGTTCCAGTCTAAAGAGCTATTTTTTGCATCACGAGCAAGTTTAAATTTAGTATGTTCAATATCCTGTGTTCAAAAATCTTTCGGAAAGTATCTACAACAGTAAATAAATCAGATTGCTTATCACTCCACTCATAATAAATGAAACAAATTCAATTACCTTGAAGAGAGGAGGTAAGACAGCTGGTCCTGCATTACCAAATTGAAAAGCATTTAAAAGTTGTGGCAATATTTTATGTTTGCTGTAATCAATTGGAAATTCATCAAGATGGTCCGGAAGTTGATTGAAAAATTCATTTTTTTCACCCTGATCCTTTATCTGTAGAATAATAATAAAACAGTGGAGGAAAAAAATTTGGACAGTAGGAATTAAAATAAATTCAATGAGAGATCCAGAATAAATTGCATACCTACTTAGAATTACTACAGAACCTAATGTAGATAGAAATAAAAATCCCAAATACATATATATTTTTGCAGAGGAAAATGAACTTGATGAAAATAAAATGATGACGTATATATTTTTATATAAAATGAAAATATGAAAAATTTGTGTAGTGAATCAAAAAAGTCAAGTATTCACACTTGAAAAATCTACAAATAAATTTTAGTTTAAACAAATTACAAATTCTATAAAATCAGTATTCCAAACACACATATTATGTGAAATCAAATTTGTAAAATGTATTATCTTTAGCGATATATGCAAATTTTACATTTGCAAGATAAAGATAATACATTTTACAAATTTGATTTCACATAAAATGTGTGTTTTTTATAGAATTTGTAATTCGAGATAAAGATTTACAACAAAATTCCGACAAATTAAATTTTGCACATATCTTAAATTTGCAAAATATATCTATGTAAAGTAAGTCAAAAGTAATTGCAACAAAGAATTCTTTCCTTCAGGCAGAAATAATTCATACATGAATATGTTTAGACAAGAATTAATTTATTCCAATTCACTAATGATAAAGATAATAAGGTTGGAGAGAAATATTATTTTAAATTCTACCTGGATTTCTTCAAGGAATAAATTTGTGTCAACAAAATAATTGTTCATGAAACATTGCTGAGTTCTGCAATTTTCAATAAATCGATCAGGACTCGGTCGCGAAGCAGGATTAGCACCAACGAGTTCACAATAATGTGCAACGAGGCTTTTCGGTATCTGAAATGAAAGACAAGCATGAAGCCAGTAGATTGAAACTAGGTGAAAAATCAAGTAATACGTAACAACATATTTACCCCAAAAACTAATTTCACTCCAGAAAGAACCCAGCGGTTCCCAAACTTCCCAAAAGGTAAAATGAATTTATTGATTCATATACACAACATTTAAAATAGGAAAAAAAAAAACATTTAGAATAAATACAATATGTAATATTTTCAATCATATTTTAGTTATGTTTAACACAATTCTGTTAATTTTCTAGGTGCACTTAGCAACTCGCCGCAGCGCACCCTTCGGGAGCCGCTGTCATAACCAATAGTTTCAAACATTTCAGTAATAGATATGAAAGCAAGACACTAACCTTCCCAACAACTTTGAGTGAAGAAGTTCTGGGTAATGGTCCATTAAAAACTTCCCATATTAAACAGCCTAAACCCCACATGTCAGAAGACCTGTATAATTAAAAGTTAAAAATTACAGAATGAATCATTTTTTATTAAATGTTGAAGTGCACAATATCTCTTGCTAATTAGTACTTGAACTACAGATTTCTAACTTTCAAACAAATAAGCAAGTCAGGACTTTAATTAGACTTGTTTTATGTAAATGATTTATATCCACGAGTAAAACTCGTGATAAATTATATGTCAAACACAAATAATGGTAAATTCAACCCAAAAAGGTTACAATCTTATAAGCAAATTGTTTGCAACATTTTTTATGATAGGTATTCCAAATCCATAATGTAGGATTTATTATAATTGAGTTATTGAAAGCCTAATAATATATTTTGAAATTACTTCGAACAAGAATATTATTTTGAGACTTACGAAAACTTAAAAAAACACACACATTTATGTGCATGATCAAAGACTATGGCCTGATGTTACAATCCAAATTTTAAGATTCCAGTTCATTGAACTGCGAAACTTACCACTTAGATGATTTTTTGTTACGATTTCTTGCAGATTTTTCAGGGGGATCATATTTTTCTAGCATAGGTAAGGTTTTGAAAGGCGGAAGATTGCTGCCTTCGCCTGAGGCTGGATACATGTAGTCTACTCCACCTGAAATTCATATAACAATGAAATAGACGTTGGTAATTCATTCACTGCTTTAACTGTATCTGAGTATGAATATATGAACAGAAAACACAAGTATAATTGCATGAGAGTGGGACAATACTTATTATTACACAAATTATAATATTCCTATTCCACAAAAATAAAAGTTTTTAAAAACTTCATCTGACATGATAAGTTTCGGCTGCCAGTAGGGAAAAAGTATTGCACTTCATCTCAAATTGATAATTCAGAAATAAAAAGTTTATTTAAAATAAATCATGACTAAAAATTTTGAAAAAAATCCTTATTGAAAATAACCTTCACACTAACAAGCCATTCCTCACCTAACTTCCACTCTCCACTTTGATCTACAAATATGGAAGACATGCAGACATTGTTGTGTATAAGATTTACAGTGTTTACCAGAAAACTGAGACCTTTCTGTAGAACAATTTGGAAAACAGTTAATTAATCAATCATAATTATTTAACTATTTCTTTTCGGTATTTCATACAGGATACATAATTAAAAGTGACTAAGAGTCAGTACGAGGTTACCCAAAAACATAACCCAGATCATTGGGAAGATATTTTTAGAAAAAAGAATACTTTTGTGCAAAGTGTCCCAGATTACTGAAACAAACAGAAGTTCAAGTGTTGAAGTTTAAATTAAATTTTTTTATTTTTATTGAAGAAATTAAATAATATATAGGGTTCTGTTTTTTTTTCAGGGTCAACCTGTACTATACTCTCTCGAAAGGAGTTTTAGTGGTCATGAAATATGGTCCTCTTGAAAAATGCTGTAATAAACGATTCATTTTTTTGTAACAAACTTCATTATTTTCCAAAAAATTGATTACCACAGTAGTCATACAGACATGCATCTGTGTTTTCTTCCCAATTCATAATCAAACCATCATAAACAAATACCGTACTTACAGAAATCTGGTGAAGACCCCAAGATATTGCAAGATCACGAGTGGCATTTTTAGTTTCCATTGTCTTCAAATGTTGTAACAAAGGTACCACAGGTTCGGTAACAATATAAATGCATTTTGGGGCTTCAAGGCTGAAAAGAATAAAAAATATATAAATAAATTTCATTTCATGGTTGAAAGCCAGCGAACCTTGAAAGAACATTTCTATATTGTACAAAAATCGGATAAAGAAAATAAGAGTAATACCTGTCGATAAATGTAAGAACATTAGGATGTCGAAGAGTCTTCAATCGTTTTATTGATGATGAAGCAACCTGTCTCACTGCATCATTACTTTCTGCTACATCAAAAGCAAATATAGAAACAGATTCTCCATTTGCCTGAAACAAAATATCAACAAACAGATCTTTAAAATTCAAAATCTTTTTTTAACATTGAATGTTAAGAACTCATCATTAAACTACCGGTACATGAAGAAAATTTTTTTGACGTTCAAACATTTATAAACTTTTAAATGAAATATTTGGTGAATATGGCTTTTAACTCCGATTGGAAAATCAGCTCAAAAAGCAGCTTTTTTTGTAATTGTTGATGAAATTTTTTCAAAATTTTAACATTCTCCCCTTTCAGCCTTTGTTTTAAAACCCTCGATTTGGAAGTATTAATCTCAATGTAGTAAAACATAATAGGAAACAAGTATAACTAATGAAAAAGAGAAATTTTCAAGCATTATACTATTTTTATGCACAAGAAAATTAGCAAAACAATAGCTATACCTTACGAGTTCCCTTATGCAATGTCCATATACTTTGATCATCAAGTCCAGAAATTTTTTCCCCAACTTCAAATGCGAAGTCTTTAGTGGGATCTCTCGAAAATATCGACCACATATTTTAAAATTTAATAACAATCAACTTTGCATCAAAATAGTTACTAGAAGACTAATTGCAAGCAAATTGAGCCGCTCTAAAAACTGAAAAAAATAAATAAATAAAGGACTATACGGTAATAACTGAATAAAGTTTAAAAAAAAGCTTTAGATAAATTTTATAGTAAACGAACAAAAAAATAAGTAAAAAAGAAATTAGAATATAAATAAGAATTGTAATTAGAAATAAGAATTGTTATTTGTTTGCCACACCATTTTTATAATTTCATAAAAATTCCCAAATTGAGTACGGTACGGATTATGTCAACAAGAGTAAACAGTATTTAATAGGAAGACAAAAGAAAAAAAGACTTTGCCAAGCTGATTATAGTTGGAGTCAGATGCAAAGCAGGCAACCACTGACCCGCTTTCCCCCAATCCAGCTCCAGAGCTCTAAGAAACTGTGATACTCAAGGTTCTGGCTACAACAGTACCGGTACCGGTACCGTACAGTACCGCAGTAGTACAGACGAGAGCCCAAAAATCATTACACCGTTGTAGCATTCTTTTGAAGGGCCACCGAAAAGTAAGAATTTGCCTCGCAAATCGCAATAACAATCATAACCTTTCTCGAAGCGGGCACCGAGAAGTAAGAATTTATCTTACTAAATCACTATTGCGTGAAATACTTCCGAGATACCAACGAATTAAAATAAAAATTTATTATGACGAAGGCGGATAAATGAACCTTTCCCTGAGCATCGACTTCCTTGTTTACTTCGTGACATTGGCCAATGAGCAAGATGCAAAAGGTGACGTAACAATGCTCCCTTTTCGCATCCGCTCAGACACTTTTCTCACTCAGACAGATTTTCAAGAGTGGTCGTAAACATTACCTCATTTTCGCGTTTTTGAACTCTATTCGTTAGTTTTCAGTTGTGTTTCAAAACTTAATATAAATCAAATAATTCAATGATCACCCTGTCTTCCTAGGAGTTTTAATTTAATTGCAGTAATAAAAATTTGTGTAGAAATAGCTGTGATAGACTAGGCTAAAATTCTTTAACGGTACTTTAAAAAAACAGATTGTTGTATGCGATGAATCATAATGTTGGTTTGAAACACGTACCCTATTTCACAGGCGCCAACTCGCAAAAGCACTCTTAAAATAGCCCCGAAAATTTTGCAATGGTAAAGTATAGGAAGAATTTTTCGGGGTTCAAGGGTCGGGGAAAGGTCCATCAGAATTAGATGATTAGACTACATTGAGAAAGCATCGCCATTCAGCTGGATCAATTCAATTGCAATTTTTGTAGAACCAGGCTCAGCTGAAAGCATTTATTACTGACAGGGGCACACTACGCCCCGTTGGGTAATCCAATCTGGCCCGGCTGATGCTGCTACAACCAAACTAAAACAAAATTTTGATATTTTAGCTTAAAAAATAGCTCAATAAATTTGTTGAAATTTAGTTTTGGCACGAGACTCATTGTTTTCCCTTTTTGCATTTGTAATACTATAAATATTATTCATAGAATGTAACTTTTGACGTCACACTTACATGGCCCTCCAAGTAAAAATTACTTTCTAATGTTTATTTCAGCTGATAATATATTAATATAGCGACATAACAAGGATATAAATGTCCTTGCAATGACAACCTAAATGAGGTTGTGAATACAGATGTGACACGCCCTGCCCTACGTTAAGAGATTGAATATTCAAACAGATTATATATTTTCAAATCAAATCAAAATATATTTTATTTGTAAAAACCTAGTTTAGTTCAAAGCTAAAAGATTGTTCCCCGGGCAGCGACTTCCATGTTTATATCCGCAATAAGTTTCAGCTCCTACAAAGCGTCACGGCTCTAAAGCCCAACCTTTCGACCCCGATACTAATTGGTTTAGGCCATTGATTCTCTACCCTGGCGGACCGGTAAAATTAAATGTACTCGCGGACCGGCAAGAACTTGAAATGACCGGAACAGAAAAGAATAACATATATTTGCTAGTCATAATGCAATGTCAAGCACTCAATATGCTTCTGGACAAAAAAGGCACACTTAAAAACATTCCACACGAAGTAAACTATCGAATAATGTGTCGGCCAAAAATTGAAATGTGTGAAACATACAATAATACGATATATTTGCGTAATGAAATGTAGTGTGGGGCACCCATTATGCGTAAGAAATGCACGCATAAAACATCTCACATAAAAAAACGTGTATATAGAGGACTTGCACGGGTCACCTGACTTCGTTACTGGACGGCAATAAAAACAAAAACGTCCATTTGGCTCCTGTCAGTTGCAAGTCGGATTATACTTTTCCGTTTTGTTTGGCTGTTGAAAATGGTTATTTCGTATTGTTACGTTGGCTGTACGTATAGTGTAGACAACGAAATGGATCTTCAGTTATATTTCACCTGTTTTCAAAAGATCCGGATGTGGATATCATCTATTGGCAGGACTGCTTGGTGTTGGTGTCAAGTCCAGAAGTCATCTCGCTTGTGTTTCACTGTTTGCGGACAGCACTTCGTTGACGGTGAGTAATAATGTGCCGTTATCAATTTTTTTAAATATTCATAAGCTCCCTCATTTCAATGGAAAGCAGATGACAGACTACTGTTATTAGTAGGCCTAGGCCTACTTGCAGACTTGACTTGTGTAAGGAATTAATCATCAATTGCCATAATGTATTGTTTCCCTAGTTACTAGTTAGCAGGTAATCTATTACTAAGGGTGAAAGGTCGAGGTTGAATAGATAACTAAAGTTTAACACCAGTGGTCATGCAAAAAATAACCAGAATTCAATTGAATTCGCCATCTAGAAATACGCTCGCCACCGCATCTCTGATCACCTTGGTAGTTTCACAGGTTCCAATCTCATGAGGGGATAGTTATGTGCGAGAGAATTGCAGCTCTCCTCCCACTGAGGGTGGTTCACACGACCGCTGATCGGTTACGACCATCCCTCATCATCCAAGTCCATGCTTCTGAAAACAAATAACTGACACTAACTAATCCCAACATAGAATGGTAATCGTACGAGAGACTGTGGTTTGTCATATGATTTAGTTGTTGCACCTGCAATTCTAAAGGTGCTTGTACAACTGTCCCAAAATGTCTTTTTATTGTCATTGGTAAAAGAGGTATGCTAGCCGGAATCAAATTCATTTACGACTGGTGTTTGTGGTGGGATATGGACATAAATTTCACACCACTTGATCGTTAAATTTTACGAAAACTCTACAAATATTACAAAGCTAGTGCAGGATCATGATATCAAATGAATCTGTATCCTTTATCTTACAGATATGGGTGTGACCATGGAATAGATGGATGGCAAAGTATAAGTTGCAACAAGGCCACAGTGGCACAAGACCTCAGCTTGCGTGACTTGATAACACATCCTCAGTATCCATTTATTGGTGCTTAACGTAATGACAAAGTAACTTGTGATTACTGTGGATTGGTGGAACTAAAGTGTCCATTGTGCTTGAACGAAAGCAACTTCAATACGACCCTATCAAGAAAGCAGCAGTCTAGAGTTGGACACCGATACTACAACCAAATACAGTTGCCAATGAAACTTAGCGAGGCGTAATATTGCGACTTTGTGATCTGAAAGAAAATTCTGATGGGTAGCCGGCTAGCCGCAACCTTTTGTTTAAAGAATATTATGAGATACGGCTTAAGAGGGGCAGTCTAAACTTCCATTCAAGAGGGGTGTAATCCAAGCTAATTTGCAAATGGTATTCATGGTACCAAATGTATCACACACTTTACAGTAATTATAAATTATATTTGAAAAATAAAGCACATCAAAAATGTATTTTTAAAAAACAATTGGTTTATCTGCAGATACTAGGTTGATATTGAGATTGACCATTTCAATGCTAAATTTTCTTTAGTCAAAAGGCACACATGATTCGCAAAGATTTGTGAATGCGCACAGTACAACAATTTGTCTAATGTTTTGATTCCATAGGCAGGAGGTTGTGGATCGGTGCTGCTCAGGATGGGATATTTCTGCCTATAAATGCATATTACGTGTTTCACATGAATCTATCGTGCTCAGATTCGACTGTTTTCGACTTGCAACTGACAGGAGCCAAATGGACGTTTTTGTTTTATTGCCGTCCAGTAAACAAGGTCACGTGACCCGTGCAAGTCCTCTATATATGCCAAATCATGCATGTACAAAATTAACTCTAGTGAGAATTTTGCTGCTGTTTCGTTTCCTGCAACACATATAACTCTGCAACGGCGTGCAGACTTCTTTGCTTCGTTTTAACCTCTTCAACCCTGCTGGCCGGTTTACCGGCCAGCCCGAGTTTGCTCTCTCACCCTGCTGGCCGGTTTACCGGCCAGCTTATCGAGTGAAAATCAATCAACTTTATTCCCTCATATCTCAAGAACCACGAAAGATATTTAAGTAAGTCTTATACTGTATGATAGCTGGTCATTAGAACTATCTACACTTCAAATATTGCTGCTATATTTTACAATTATCTGGGGATAATTGGCAAAAAAAGGATGTATACATTTATTTGATGAAAACATAAATTAAATGTCAAAAATTGACTCTTTTCTGCCTAAATAACCTAATATACAATTGACAATATATCTAGAAAATTTAAATAGCTTTTTAAAGACGTATCCAAAACGATTTTACGATAAGCCATTCAAATTTCATGGCCAAATATGTTTGATTTTCTGTACATTTAACAGCGACGCTGCGTCAAAATGACGTTCTCATTGAAGCGAGGCTACGTCTCGTCACGCACATCTTTACGTATATTACGGAAATGCAACAAAGCGTGACGATGTCTGCAATCACGTTACGTCGAGATGTTATTATTTAAATGTCCGCAGAAAGTAATCAATTAACCCGATTTTACGCATTCAAAATTCGCACCACGCGTTGACTGCCCGCTCAAGCCCTTATTAAGTTGTATTAATTTTTAAATTGAATATTGCACTTCGTTGTGCTCGGAACAATGAAGAACATGAAATATTATGCAGATAAAAGACACATTCTAAATCCAATATTGAACTTTGTTGTGCCACTCATACCGATGGTTGTTGGTTTTGTTACCTATGCATAGGTACTCTTTACAGTATTTGCATTTATATACTGTCTTGCATCGTTTCGGCAAGTCTTTGTCTTTAGCAGCTGGATTGGCTTTTTTGGCAATACTGTGAATTTTTCTGCATACGACGCATCTAATATTAGAACTGGCGTTTCGCGGTTTATATATGTCGTGTCGTACGTTTAGTTGCAGTCTTTTAATATCTGTTAAATATTCTTGTGGTTGCACAATCTTGCATTTTTTCGTCAACATCTTGCCTTTTCCAGCGAGATCTTCAAATAGTTGTTCTAGAAAATTGGGGATTGTGAATATCCTTTTTGCTCTCATATTGTGAGGTTTGACAAAATTCATTAGGACGTAGGAATTGTAGGTCGCCCACATGAAAAACTTCATGACTAAACATCTTGGCCATTTATAATGCCTCCTGCACTTTTGTAAGCGTGTCAACTGGTCGTTTTTATCAGTACCTCCCATGAATGAATTATAATAAGCTTCCACTGCTGCTGGGCATGTTATTTCGTGTGTTTCGTCGGTGCTTCAATCCATACGGGGTTAATATCATATCGAAACTCGGCGACCGATGTCCCGCTGAGAACGTCGTCGTGAAAGTTATCTTGCGCATTTTGCCACGCAATACGTTTCGAACGTACGTATCAACATCTTCATGACGTTAGTCACGTGATCGGCTTTTGCGTAGCTGCGTAATCAGTGCGTTATGGCCGCTTATCGAAGTTTTCCACCCGGCACACTGATACAAAATTGGATATTTGATATAAAATTGGTTATACGGCAGCCACAATAATAATTCCAATATCAACAAAAAGCTTATAAAGAACTCTTTATGAACATCAATTATAGGCAGTATATTTTGTACCAAAATAACTAAATTTGGAGCCATAAATCACTTACATGCAGAAAAATCACTGTTAGATTAGAGTCAATTTTATTAATTTTGACAAAATGTATTTCGAAATGGAAAATACATTCTGAATGCACGATAAAATTTCCTTTCGATTGAAATATCACACAACGTGCTACCTATAATTGGTAAAAAGTTATAAGCGTGCCAAATAGCCAGTATTTAGACTTATTTTATTGTTCTATCAGTACGGCGCCGCGAACCTTCAGGGTGAGCGAGTAACTTCGCTCAGAGCCGCCAGAGTTCAAAGAGTTAAGATAGGTTAATTAAAGATAGTGATGAAAGTGTTATTTCGCGTAACGCAGTAACTGGTTGAAAGTACAGACAGCAGTTTGATTGCTCAATTACTTAGCGATGGGTATTGGTTATCAAGAGATATACATAATTGTGACACTGATTTGTTTCTAAATCTGAACTGTAAAGTAGAATTACAATTTTAATCAAGATTTTTCTTTTTCATCGTGTTCATCATATTAATCCATCTGCAGTTGCTCGACACCACAAACGAAATGAATTTACAATACAATGACAAAGTCGTCGGTAACTTAGCACCAGGCTCAAAACCTACGATGTCTGCTCAAAATACTGGAAACGATCTCTGCGGCCCATGCTTTTTTGCTCGTCTCGTTACCACCTGCAGGGTCGCAACAAGTTCATATCTTATTGGAATATTATACTGTTCTTGACTGATTTCTAATTTAAACAAAGAAATATGCGTTACGTTTTATATGGAGGGTTATATTAATCGGAAAAATACACAGAACAGAAAAAGCACGCATGTCGATTTTTAGGTTTCTGAATCTTGCGAAATTTAATGGAGCGCAATCGCGATGAATCAGAATCGAAAAGTGTGAATACTCGGCGACAAGACGTCGCGATAGACATCGCCAAGATGTCGCGAAATACGTCGCAAGATGACGGCGGAAGAGAAATTGCGTAATAAACCAACGCAATCTCGTCTTCGGTTAGCGATTAAGACGGCGCAAAAACATTGAAATTTCTCGCGGACCTTCATAAAAGCTTCGCGGACCGGCGGTCGGGAACCACTGGTTTAGGCAACAACAAATCTGATGATTGTAATTTTTTTTTCGTCATTTTCGGATTTTTTTCTATCGTGGGCCTGTCTATTCACTAAAATGAACATTAAATGGTTTGAATATTTATGTTTATTTTATGTATCGGTAATTATAAAGTTTTACGACGAGTTCTAAACTGCGATGTTTGTCGGACTGAGTGCATATGAGATTATCCGGAAGTTTGTGTAAGTGTAGGTATGTTCTTGAACCGTAATTTCTTTTGTAGTTTCATATTACTATGCTTTGAATGCGAATAGCAAAATATTCACAATCAACCGTGTTAATTCTATTTTCCACAATATTTAAATAATAAACTAGTCTTTTCTAGCAATTTTTTTGGAAAAATGTCGGAAACAAACAAAACATGTCTTTAAATGACGTCCTAATAAATGCAGAATACTGAAAATAAAAAAAGGCCTAGCTTAGTTTCTGTTGCAAGTTTCACTCTCGTTATAAACTACAATTTTCGTGTACAATTATCAGTTGAAATGAAATATTATTATCTCCTGCATTTCGTTGAAAAAATCGTCTCTGGCTCTGTGTTCCTATATAAACGGAATCTAATTTTGGAAAATTTAAAAATAAAAAATTGTGCCAGTAATTATAGTAATCGTATTTAGCAATTGTAATTTACTAAAGCTGGGCTTTAATGAATGTTCTTAGCATTTGCACATCGGACACCGGACAAAAAATCAGATGGTCGGTAACAATACGGAGAATTCACAAAAGTTAAGACATGATTCAGAATAAAAGATGTTCATAATTAGAAACTACTTTGTCGATCATACTACGTCATGCATTTGGGAAATTCGTTTGCTGACGTATTCATACGACCACTTTTATATTTATAAGTAACGTATGACAACACATATACATTATTATGGGAATCTAATTTGATTAGAGATAATTCCCAGAGAGACGTAGATCGGCCAATTAATATCTTTTAGAGGTGTTACTTCCAGTGAGTTATATTGTTTCGGCCAAGTTCTGTTTGTACATTAGAAAATCACATTTTTCTTGGTTTAGTTTCAGTATTAAGTTTGAAAAGCGTATTAGCATGCATTTTATTGTAGGGATCATTCCAATCTAATTCTTGAACAGTTAATAAATTAATTTACCCAATGCTTTCAGCGACATGCGTGGGATGTTAAATACCAGACGTCACACAGAATTATTTTGAAAAGAAATTCTGTCAAATTGGGCCTGGGGCTATTATTGCGTCTATACTTGAAATTGTTTAAAATTATGTGCTACAGATGGCCAGTTTTTCTGCGGCGGTTAACAACAGCTCTAAAAGGTAACGGCATGGAAAGAATTATCATGAACCAGATAAGAGCATTATAGTGCGCGTTGATGCCAAGTTTGAAATTGGCAACCGCGAAATCGTGGCCCTGATGGAGACGTTGTCAGATGATGGTTCAGATGATGGTTGTCAGATGATGGTTCAAGTCAGCGTTACTGGTCTTTGGTGCCGTTCAAGAAAGTTTGGTGATGGTTTGAAATGTTAGCGTTGCATAAAATGATGAAATTGATTTGGACAGGTGTACTCTGATTGCCAATTTATCGTCCAACGAATGGTATGCCTCAAGATGTAGTAATATATCCATAAGAATGTTTATGATGCCAGGAATGAAGTTCATAAAATCAGGACAAAATACTTTTAGGTCTAATTCTCATGGTAAACATTGTATGTCAAGCCAAAATTGAATCGTGTGGGAGAAAAGGCACTTGCTCGAGGAGTATGTTATGCGCTCGGAAAATATGATGCAGGAGACTTTGCATAATCGGTTCAGAACTTACAATAACGTTTATCAAAATTGTGCCTTACTACGTTCATTTTTGTTGTATTGTTTTGTGGTCGAAGAAAATAATTTTGTCCCTAGTTTCCAAGAAAAACACCCGAGCCTCTCGAACGGGCAGCAATGTCCATTAAGGGTGTTTACAGAGAATAACTTGATGGAATGCAATGATAGGGAATATTTATGAGGTATCAGCAGTAAATTTTTTATGGAAATGTTTTTCAAATTTTTTCGGTCAGAATTTAGAGTACCGGTATATATATATATATATATATAATCATACTGTTTACATGCTTAGAATATTTTTGGGGCAATATCGATTTGTTTACGTGGTTATGACGAAATACAAAAAATCTATTCATGCTTAAAGTGACTTCCAAGGAATGGCGAGAATGGAAAACGACTCAGTGGTGTCTTACAGGACCTCATTATTTATCAAATCATATCTGGATTTACTCCATGAAGAGCCCTCACTTGCGCTTGCATCGAGAGTATTATTTTGGATATTATCCATCACTGGATTATTTGCCAATTTCATCGTAGTTTATGTCATAATCAAATACCGGAAAATACTTCTTCAGATTCCGTCTAACAGTTTACTTCTCAGTTTAGCTATTACTGACATAATATGTGTTTGTATATTGATTACTATTCGATGTGCCAATTTAGCTATGGAACATGATGATAGTGTAACTGCCGTACTTGTGTCCTCAGATGCGTTATTGGCATCCTGTGAAGTTGTTTTGAGCAATTGGACAGTGACAGCCATCGCAGTTTTTAATTTTTTGGGCGTTGTATATCCTATTAAATTTCGTATATTTGCCACAAAGAAAAAAGTCGCCAAGATTGTGGTATGTATTTGTGTGCTTGCGACAAGTGTGTCCATTCCATTCATATTTTTCTCACCGATTAAAAACTTTGTCATAAATCATGAACATTTAATAATGGAAGATATTTATATTTATTATTTAATCATTTTTGGTGTATTTTCGAATGTAACCCCTGTTATCGCAATTGTTATATTATATCCCATAATGTTATATAACCTCATTATAAAACACGAGCAGCACAGTAGAAGTGATTCTTTTCGAAAGAAAATGTACAATTCAATTAAGCACATTTCATTTACATATGTATTATTTCTCATGTACGCTTCCTTTAACCTGGCAATTACTTTGACACTTTTCAGCTTTCTCGTTACTGATCAATTAGGTGAAAAACCCATTCCGGAATCAGCCAAACGATCGTTAAGATTCATGGTATTCATAGAGCCTTCTATAGTTTTTCACACGTTATTAAATCCGTTCCTTCACGCCCTATTAACTGAAAATTTCAAAAATTATTACGTTCCATCCTGTTGGAAAACAAAAGAAAGTGTATCAATTCCCAAAACATAGTAAGTTAAAATATTCTGTGGATGATTTTGTAATATTTTAAAATTATTTTCCAGCTGAAAGAAGTGCTCTCATTTCCTTACATGAACTTTATCCTAGCCACTTTAACCTGTGTAGGAAGAAGTAAAGATAAAAAGTGTTTTCATCTCCGTTTCATATCTTTTACTATATATATATATGCCGTATGAATATATGAGACGGAATGGTAGACAGTTAACCATTCGCATTAAGTTTGTAATGAGTGGGCTCGGCTAATGAGAGGAGGAAAAATGAGAGAAAACATGCAAATTATTTGTATTGTAATAATTGAACGAACTACTGTGAATAACTCGATCATTGGGATTGTTTGTCAAACTGACAGTTAACAAACTTCATTTAAAACTCATTAGTACAGTAACTCGACTTTTCTCGGTGACCAGGCTCCCAAGCAAAACTTGGAAACTTCATGACCTAATTTGATTTATTAGTTCAGCCTATCAGGCCATGGCCCAAATACCCCAAGTAGTCCATTTATATATATATATATCTCATTTTTAGGTTATCCTAGTTTCATCAACATCAATCAAAGCTTTTCTAAATCTACAAATTATGGAAATGTGCATTTCGAGTAATGTTTTGATTTTTTATCAGATGGTGATTTCTAGCTTTCGTGATAACGGTAAAAAAAATCTGTCATTGAAGACCAATAGTAATTACAAAAAAAGTTTGATTATGCCATTGGAAACCAACACATTATCAGTGGTAATGGCACCGATATTATTCGTACATGACCTGTGTATAGAATCGAATTCTCATATTTTGTAAAAAAAAAAACGCGTCAGAAGGACCAGTTTATGACGAATTTAGGGAGTCAGCGTCATTATCGACATAAAATTGATTTTGTCTGCTGGCTAGATGAAAGGTTTCATCTCTGCTTCTAAAAGGTCCAGGACAAGCAGAAGCTGGTTTTATGGAAAATGGAAAAGGACGAAGCCATCCGATTTTGAAAAGATCATTGCAAGATGATTTTGAGTTAGGGTTAGGCCAATAGATATCCTGATAAAATGCATGCTAAGTCCTCAGGAGAATGTTATACCGTATTGTAAAGAGCATTTCCTGGATTATATATGACCTACTTGCTTGCGAAATTTTCAAGATAAGATATGGCGCAATGGAAGCACCCTGTAGTATTATCCAATATTATATGACTATAACGCTTTCCGCGTAATTTCATGCTAAGCATCTCCCAAAACACAATTTATTGGAAATATTAACCTGAATATAATTGATTTAACGAAGCTTTATCGGAATCTTGTGAACTCACGTGGTAAAATTGTCGAACAATGGGATGATATGACTTAGAATCCTCAGATGGCTCTTTCGGAGAAGTTTTGTGAGTGACCAGAACCACAATATTGATTTGACTCATTGGGATTACCGACATTCAACGCGGTTCAAGGCAGTCGTTCCCAATCTTTTTCGTTTAATTCCTTACTTCGCTTATTTTGAAACTCTTCATGCCTACCTCATGATGTATAAAAACTACTATATATATTAGTTCGATCTACACCTTGGCTACTGTTATGCGCAAGTCGCACTGCCGCGTTTTTTGTAGTGATAACGAGAAGCGAGGTGTGCTTAAATCAGTATTGTAGTAATAAAGATCTAATAAATATTAGTAATAATAGAGTAAATACAAAGCAAAATTACCCTACAAGAACGACAAAATTGCTCATAGGAAGTACTTCTTCCCCTGTTGGGAAACGTGGGTCTAAGCTAAGGTAAATAAATCATCATCGCGACCATTCATCCAAGGCTGAAGATATATTAGGTAACGGTATATTTACGGTTTGGCATTAAGACTGGGCATTTTCAAATAGCCCACCTGATGATTTTAAAATGAAATTGAATATTAATATTGTTTTTGAATCGAATACTTGGGAGATATATATTTAAATTAATACAACGACGTAACTATATGCGACTTTTTATTTATTCATCCAGCCATATAAACTACTGAAACATCTTTCAGTGAGTTCGCTGAGTTGTCGTCACAAACATGTTTCATCATAAACGAACTAAGAAGGAACGGCTCTTGTGTCAGACATCCCGATGGGGGATGGCTTCAGAATTGAAGGATTCACCTCGACCTTTGGCGGACAAAAAAAAAGAAGACGGAGGTGCGAAATATTCCGAATTTAATAATTACTATTTCATTCGAAATGACTAGCTTTATTTGAAATTTCTCACCAAATGGTTTTAAGAGTAAAAGTGGACACGGTATTTGGTCATACGCTGTCACTGATGATCAAGTACAACTGCAGTATGAAACAGAACATTCACGAGACGTAAGAAAAAATAAATAAAAGGAAAGGTATTGCGGATAAGGTTTTATTGAAGGGATCAACATACACAAACATTCAACGACCGTACAATACATTCAGCTTATGGTAATTACAGGCAGACATGCCTGCATGTGGTTATGGAATAAAATTGAAAATATAGACATTCATACTTACGGACTCAAACGTATTTTATACTTTTAAAAGATAGTCCTCCGTCTGTTATTTTTTACTTTGGTATTAATACAGAGATGCTGATATTAAAACTGTAGGCTGTAGAGTGATCTGGTTTTGTAATTATCAATAGATCATATTGTAAAAATTTTTGAGAATTGGAAATAATATTATCCGTTGATCGAGGTTTACATTTGATGCCAAAGATCTTCGATTTATCGCTAAAAGGGTTGGGACAAAATATATATTATACTTTAAGTAACAAACAACTTATATATGCATAGTGCTATATCAGCCTATAGCGTAAGTTTCAAAAAGATTGAAAATTAACTTTGACTTTGGTAGTTACCCGTCCGCCGAGATAAAAAGGTTGGGAATCGCTGATTTATTAAACGATGTAAAATGGACATCAATGCAACATACCACATTCGAAATGTTCTGAATCAGCATTAGGAAGAAGAACACGGAATTCTCTATATTTAATGATACCAACGCATATCAGACACAAAAAGATAATAGTTGCATGTGAATTTGCAACGCAGGAGTTCGAGTTACCGTGAATTGATTAGATAACACCATATAAATTCCTGGGAATGCCATGCAACATTTGTCCGTGCAAGAAAAATGGCTGTTCATAGGCGAAAATCGATTAAGTTAAAGCGCGCTAGAATGATGAAACATGTGGAGAACCTATGCTGCGCTTGAATCACGAAGGGGATAATTATAAGAAAAAGGGGCTTAGTATGTGTCCCTCTGAGCAAGCATGCCCACAATTATTATGCAAGATATTTGTAACGACAACGACAGATTATAAACAAAAAATATGTTATTAATGCGATATCTCGGATAGTTTTCTCTCCTTTGTCGGCACCACATAGTTTATATTTTTCGCAAATATCATCATGTAATACAGAATTTATCGTCGCAAATTGTTTGTAAACCGAAAATTTCTTTTTTTAAACGAAGAAGGCTCTTGAAGTGAACACACTTCCCATACGTTTATCACCATTTCGTCGTACATAGAATAGATCAGTTTCACTTTCAAGAAAGCCCTTCATTTTTATACATTTAAAATGCGGAATTAGAATATAGAAAACATAAAAAATAAGATGCACTTCGTTTCAGCCAAAGTTCGATATTTGCCGAAACTGGCTATAATGATTCCACTACAATTTCTCCTTTGTCCTGACATTTTTATAATCATTCCGAAATCTTCAACTTTAATTTAAAATTAAAAACTTTATACCATACCCGTCATACTGCAGATTAAAATCACCATATATTGTGTAGGCTGTATTCATAAGAACTAACTCAATTTATACACATAATGTTAACCAAAGTTCTGTTTTACAGAATGTTGAAGAGTAACATCAAAATTACTAGGTAAAGAATGGACTTTGCATTTATATCAATTGCAACTAATATATCACAATGACTGAACTATGGAAATAGATAGCTTATTGAATAGGTAAATGAGACATAAAATAATTGGCACAATGAAGCTGGCACTTGATTTGTTGCAATATTAAATATTTCCTATGTGAACAATATTCATCTTGATGTGTTTTGAAAACATATTGCTAAGCAAATAGGTAAATGAGAAAAAAATATAGCACAATGCAATTGGCACTTATTTTGACAATAAATTCTTCCGTAAGCGGATTCCAAGTAACAAATATCGCATGAAAAAGCAACACATTACAAAGTATGGAATGTTATCAAATTTAAAACTGGAAGATTGCATGTCATTTGTTAAATATTTGATTCTGAATAAGGAGAATTTTGTGTTTCTATATTAGAAAATTGTTCCACAATAAATTAGCCCAACTAACTGAAGTATAATTACAAGGCAAGGCACTTTTCAATAAGAGAGCAAGGTAATAACTAGAAAATCAAAATTATTAGGCAATGTTATCAAGAGCTGATCAGTAGACATATTGAAAGGTAGAATAGCACATAATATTCAATGTCTATTACAGATTAACACTTGTATACAAATAACTAGCATCCACTATTTTCTACAACAAAAAGCAATCATAATCTGTTCCTAGATATGTACACTTATATAGTAAGTTAGCTTTAAAATTTCAAAAGTACTGGATTCTCTAAAATGGTTTTCAAGTAATCTATTCCTTCCGGAAATTTTGATAATTTCATTGCAACCCAGAGAAATCCATCAAAAGCCTGTGAAATAGACATGGCTTGAGGGTCAACCCCTTTGCTGCTGAGAGCATTGACAACTTCAGGGATTCTATTAGCAGAAGACATAGCTTTGTACAGAAGAATGCATCCAGCAAATTCAAAGGCAACAGGTAGTATCTGCTTATTTATTCCTGTTAAAACAGGTTTTCCACTTCTTACATCTCCATTTAATTGCAAGGTCGTAGTTTCAGATTTACCAGTCAAGATGCATTCAGCAGAATCTCCAGTTTCATGCTTAATGCTTACTTCTATTCCAAGCTCCTCAGCGATTGATGGTGCGCTAATGAGATTTGCTTCTTCTCCGAGAATACCACAACAAACAGCTGCTTTAAGAGGCCTCCCCAGTTTTGCAAGTTCACAACCAGAAGTTGAAAGTGTCAAATTGAATTTTGAATCTTTCATATACTTCTTTATAACAGTTGACAGACACTTTGTGACATCAGCCCAAGCTGTAGGGCAGTCTGCAGAAAGAGCAGGAGCATTTATAATTCCGAAGTAATTTATACCATCACGAGCACTCACAAACTGTTCTGCTATTTCTCTGCCACATCGTGCCTGTCCTTCTTTTGTGCTAGCTCCAAGATGTGGGCAGGCAACAACCTTTGGATGAGAAACAAGAGCCATGTTTTTAGTTGGTTCATCGACAAAAACATCAAGTCCTGCTCCACCACATATGCCAGATTCAAGTGCTTTCAGCAAAGAATCTTCATCAATTATCCCTCCTCTTGCACAATTAACAACCCTCACTCCAGATTTACACTTTCCAAAACTTTCAGTGTTCAAAAGTCCACGAGTCTGGGGAATAAGAGGAGTGTGTACAGTGATATAGTCAGCCTGTGGCCATATTTTATCAAGCTCCATCCATTCTACATTATATTCTTTCGCAGTATCTGCACTGACCAATGGATCATATCCAATTGTTTTCATTCCGAATGATTGCATTCTTTGAGCAACTTCAATACCAATTCTACCCAATCCTACAATTGCCAAAACTTTTCCAAACAATTCATTACCCATAAAAGCTTTTCGATCCCATTTTCCAGCCTTGACGTGAGCATCAGCAGCAGGTACATTGCGTGATAAAGAACAGAGTAAAGTGCAAGTATGTTCAGCAGCACTGATGGTATTACCACCAGGAGTATTCATGACAGCGACCCCATGTTTGGTTGCAGCTTTAACATCGATGTTGTCAACACCGGTCCCAGCACGACCAATTATGTTGAGATTTGGACAAGCCTCAAGTATCTCTGATGTGACTTTGGTAGCAGACCGAACAACCACACCATCATATGATTGCAATTCAGATATAAGAGCAGGTGCAGTGAATTTCTCCTTACATAGTGTGGCCCTATTCCATTGGCCTCCAATATTTCTTTGGCAGCAGGATCAACATTATCAAGTAAGAGAACTTTTGTGATCTTCAATGACATGATTGTAATTTTATAGGTCACTATATCTATCACATACAGAAGATTATAAGGTCAGGTACTGAAAAAGTATGAACGAATCGGTAGACTATATGAGGCACGTTGAAATTCTTATGCAATAACTAAAAGCCTAACATTAGGTCAGCAGGTCAGTGACATGATTTTTCACATAACAATTACTAGGAAAAATTCAATATTCCAACAGTTGCAAATTTATAATTTGTTAATAGACTGATAGAAGACTTAACTTTACACTCAAATTTTCCTCTTACAAGCGTCTCTGATCCTGTACCAGTGTATCGTAATCAATTCTACAATTACAGAATTAATAATAGCAAACCGCAAAACCAAAACGAAATATTTTTGCGACGCACAGAAATGATTATCAATAGGCTATATCTGTATAGCAAATAGCACACTTATTATTAGATTTATTATTTCGTCAACCAAAATAAAATAACAGTCATCGTAATTATAAAAAATAATAACAATAAATTAGTTTGGTATAGACAGGAGGTATCTGACAACTTCTGAACTAAGCATTTGTGCTTATCGATCTAAGAGTGTCAAGTGCATGTGAAATAACGTTGTGTAATCTACGGTAAATACAGAAATATCTATCCGACGTCTTATACATCTACATGCACATGCCAACAACATGGGATGTTATTGTACTGTAACTTAGTTCCAATTACTGCAAGTTACTATTTCACTGCGGTTCAATAATACCCAAATAATGGAAAACAACTCTGAATCGGCCAAACATCTGTTGCAATCCTCAACTGTTTAGCAATTTGAATCATCCTACCTCCCAACTCACGCTCAAGAGAAAACAACCATTGAAGACCTCTGTGAAGCTAGCAGCAAAACACGAAATTGTGACTGACAGAATCGCAGAAAATACCCACGCGTAAAATTAAATGTTCCCAATGATTTTTAAAAGAAAGTGTATATTTTGATTAGTTTCACAATAGCAATTAAAGCGAAACAATCATTAACTACACTCCTCGTATTGTTAATATATAGTAAACAAGCTGAAGCGACTGTTACAGTGCATAAATTTTTTTTATAATTCTTTGAGAGATGTTTAAAAATGACAGAATTTTCGTTTGTGTAACATGGTCGTTTCATGAAAACCTCCAATAAAGGCAGCATTGCAACACCATTGGGGAAAGGTAGAAACCTCAAAGATTCGATTTCAATATGTCAGAACAGTCTCAGCATGTTTTGACTTGACCATATATAATACTAAACATAGCGTATATCCTTCAAATTTTAAAACAATGTATATACAACAAATTTGAAACTGATTTTGTATTTCAACTAAATTTACTGGATAGTTCATCAAAGGAGATATTTTTCTCTTTGTCACACAACAATAATGCACTTCATTAAACTTAGAATAAGTTGAGGAAAGTCTGAAATACCGAAAAAAAATTACGCCCTCTTGTGGATTCTTTGATAAATTTCACAAAATTATCGTTTTTGAAAGGGCGATTTCCCAAAAACCGCCAATAAAGGCAGCACTACGACACATTCGGAGAAAAGCAGATACCTTATAGATTTGATTTCATTATGTCAGAACAGTAGCAGCATGTTTTGACTTGGCCATATATAATACCAAACATAGCGTGTATTCAAAAAGTTATTAACAATGCAGACGTAACATATTCAAAAAATGTTTGGTATTTCAACTAAATTTACTAGATAAATTATCAAACATCTTTTTTTCTTGGACATACATACATATATACTGAACGTTCATTAAACTTGGAATAAGTTGCGGAAAGTATAAAATACCAAAAAGCATTTTACGTCCTTTTGTGAATTATTTTCAAAATTTCAAAAAATTATCGTTATTGAAATAGCGATTTCTCAAAAACCGCCAATAAAGGCAGCATTACGACACATTTGGAGAAAAGCAGATACCTTATAGATTCGTTTTCAATATATATGTCAGAACAGTAGCAGCACGTTTTGACTTGGCCATATATAATTCCAAACATAGCGTATATTTTCAATTTTATTAACTATGTAGATGTGACATATTTAAAAACGGTTTGGTATTTCAACTAAATTTACTGGAAAATTCATCAAATACTTTCCTCTCTTGGGTATACGACAAAACTGTACGTTCATTAAACTTGGAATTAGTGTGAAAATCTTAAAATGCCAAAATATGATTTGACGCCCTCTAGTGGATTCTTTTCGAAATTTCGAAAAATTATCGTTTTTGAAAGGGCGATTTCTCAAAAACCTCCAATAAAGGCAGCACTACGACACATTCGGAGAAAAGCAGATACCTTATAGATTTGATTCCATTATGTCAGAACAGTAGCAGCACGTTTTGGCTTGGCCATATATAATACCAAACATAGCGTGTATTCAAAAAGTTATAAACAATGCAGACGTAACATATTCAAAAAACGTTTGGTATTTCAACTAAATTTACTAGATAAACTATCAAACATCTTCTTTTCTTGGACACACATATATACTGTACGTTCATTAAACTTGGAATAAGTTGCGGAAAGTATAAAATACCAAAAAGCATTTTACGTCCTCTTGTGGATTATTTTTCAAATTTCAAAAAATTATCGTCATTGAAATAGCGATTTCTCGAAAACCGCCAATAAAGGCAGCACTACGACACATTTGGAGAGAAGCAGATACCTTATAGATTCGATTTTAATAAGTCAGAACAGTAGCAGCACGTTTTGAGTTGGCCATATATAATACCAAACATAGCGTATAATTTTTAATTTTATCAACTATGTATAGATGTAACATATTTAAAAACGGTTAGGTATTTCAACTTAATTTACTGGATAATTCATCAAACACTTTTCTCTCTTGGTCATACATCAAAACTGTATGTTCATTAAACTTGGAATTATTGTGCAAATCCTAAAATGCCTAAAAATGATTTGACGCTCTCTTGTGGATTATTTTCGGAATTTCGAAAAATTATCGTTTTTGAAAGGGCGATTTCTCAAAAACTGCCAATAAAGGCATCACTACGACACATTCGGAGTAAAGCAGATACCTTATAGATTTGATTTTATTATGTCAGAACAGTAGCAGCACGTTTTGACTTGGCCATATATAATTCCAAACATAGCGTATATTTTCAATTTTATTAACTATGTAGATGTGACATATTTAAAAACGGTTTGGTATTTCAACTAAATTTACTGGAAAATTCATCAAATACTTTCCTCTATTGGGTATACAACAAAACTGTACGTTCATTAAACTTGGAATTAGTGTGCAAATCTTAAAATGCCAAAAAATGATTTGACGCCCTCTAGTGGATTCTTTTCGAAATTTCGAAAAATTATCGTTTTTGAAATAGCGATTTCTCAAAAACCTCCAATAAAGGCAGCACTACGACACATTCGGAGAAAAGCAGATACCTTATAGATTTGATTCCATTATGTCAGAACAGTAGCAGCACGTTTTGGCTTGGCCATATATAATACCAAACATAGCGTGTATTCAAAAAGTTATAAACAATGCAGACGTAACATATTCAAAAAACGTTTGGTATTTCAACTAAATTTACTAGATAAACTATCAAACATCTTCTTTTCTTGGACACACATATATACTGTACGTTCATTAAACTTGGAATAAGTTGCGGAAAGTATAAAATACCAAAAAGCATTTTACGTCCTCTTGTGGATTATTTTTAAAATTTCAAAAAATTATCGTCATTGAAATAGCGATTTCTCGAAAACCGCCAATAAAGGCAGCACTACGACACATTTGGAGAGAAGCAGATACCTTATAGATTCGATTTTAATAAGTCAGAACAGTAGCAGCACGTTTTGAGTTGGCCATATATAATACCAAACATAGCGTATAATTTTTAATTTTATCAACTATGTATAGATGTAACATATTTAAAAACGGTTAGGTATTTCAACTTAATTTACTGGATAATTCATCAAACACTTTTCTCTCTTGGTCATACATCAAAACTGTATGTTCATTAAACTTGGAATTATTGTGCAAATCCTAAAATGCCTAAAAATGATTTGACGCCCTCTTGTGGATTATTTTCGGAATTTCGAAAAATTATCGTTTTTGAAAGGGCGATTTCTCAAAAACTGCCAATAAAGGCATCACTACGACACATTCGGAGTAAAGCAGATACCTTATAGATTTGATTTTATTATGTCAGAACAGTAGCAGCACGTTTTGACTTGGCCATATATAATACCAAACATAGCATGTATTCAAACTTTTATAAACAATGCAGACGTAACATATTTAAAAACGGTTTGGTATTTCAACTAAATTTCCTAGATAATTTATCAAACATCTTTTTCTCTTGGACATACATATATACTGTACGTCCATTGAACTTGGAATGAGTTGCGGAAAGTATGAAATAACGGAAAATCATGTTTCGCCTTCTTGTTGATTATTTTCAAATTTTCGAAAAATTATCGTTTTTGAAATAGCGATTTCTCAAAAACCGCCAATAAAGGCAGCACTACGACACATTCGGAGAAAAGCAGATACTTTATAGATTCGATTTTATTATGTCAGAACAGTAGCAGCACGTTTTGACTTGGCCATATATAATTCCAAACATAGCGTATATTTTCAATTTTATTAACTATGTAGATGTGACATATTTAAAAACGGTTTGGTATTTCAACTAAATTTACTAGATAAATTATCAAACATCTTTTTTTCTTGGACATACATATATACTGAACGTTCATTAAACTTGGAATAAGTTGCGGAAAGTATAAAATACCAAAAAGCATTTTACGTCCTTTTGTGAATTATTTTCAAAATTTCAAAAAATTATCGTTATTGAAATAGCGATTTCTCAAAAACCGCCAATAAAGGCAGCATTACGACACATTTGGAGAAAAGCAGATACCTTATAGATTCGTTTTCAATATGTCAGAACAGTAGCAGCACGTTTTGACTTGGCCATATATAATTCCAAACATAGCGTATATTTTCAATTTTATTAACTATGTAGATGTGACATATTT